GGGAACATATGTATAACTGATTCACTTTGTTATAAAGCAGAAACTAACACACCATTGTAAAGCAATTATACTCCAATAAAGATGTTTAAAAAATAAAAAAGGAAAGAAAAGAAATGCTTACTAATGTTGCCACCGAGAGCTCTGTCATCGGGCCCGTGTTCTCAAAGGGTGCCAGAATGAAACCAGATCATTTGCTTTGTTTAATTTTAAGTTTTTCATTCATCATTTCGGTCATGCTCACTGCGCGTTATTTAAAAAGTTGCTTAGCATCTTGAAAACACTAGGAAAAATGCCTTGGTTGGAAGTGAAAGTACATTTGATCTTGCTCTTCATTTATTTATACTTATTCTGCTCATTTCTAAAAACGAATGAAGAGCTCTGTAATTAATGTGGTGCTGTTACTGAGTCTGGCGGAGGTCAGAACAGGACATTTATTTCTCTCTGGTCCACTTCCCTCTTCATTCCCTGGGTATCCCTGTCTCGTCTGTGGCTCGCCCAGCCTCAAGGCTTGGGCCCTTCCAATCCCTTCTCCCCACTGAAATCTGAGCGAGCTTGTGAGAACACAGATTGGATCATTCCCTTCCCCTTCTCAACACCCTTCATTCCCCTCGGCCCTCAGGGAGATGTCCCTTCAGCTGTGGTCTGCTTATCTGCCCCCCACCCCCTTTGCCTTTCACACTCTGGTTGCAGGGATCTGAAAGGAGCTAATCTCATCCTGTTTGCCTTCACCTAAAGGCCTTTGTCCACGTTGCTTCCTCAGACTGGCACTCTGCTCTGCTGTCCCTAGTCCCTCCGCCCTGCTCCTTCCCTCTCATCCTTCAGGGCTAGTTTAGATGCCACTTCCTCCAGGAAGCCCGCCCTGGGTGTTCCTGTGGCACCATGTGCTACCTGAGACAACGGTTCACCTTACCACACCGTGTTTACGTGCTCTGTCTCCAAGTGACTGCCCAGGACAGCAGCGCAGCCTCTGTGTCTGCTCACTCACTACTGTATCCCACTGCAGGTGGCCTGGCACAAGGTGGGCTTCAATATCATTTGCTGGATGAATGAATAAATGAATAAATGAATAAGCCCGGGGGTGGGGGTCACAGTTGCGAAGTATGAATTAGAATGTTGTTTCCTCAGAAAGTATGAACCCAAAGAACAGAATTTAGTTCAGGATTCATCAGTTAGAATGTGAGGGAGGCAGCTGGCTCTGAGGAGACTAAATTCCCCCTCCCACGGTGACTCCAAGGGAGCTGGACCACTCTCCCAGAGGACTCAGAAAACACATTTCAGTAACACTTTCCTGAGAGATAAATGGAGACTCTGTTTAAAATGGAATCCCATTGGGACAAAACACTAAAGCTGACTCAAAGTTAAGATTCATGCTATGAACTCCATGCAAATAGCAACCTCCACAATTTAAATTCATTCCAAAGAGGGCAGCAAGCCACAAACTAATAATGCTACTTCTTACCTGCAAAACCGTATATATCAATTTCCCAAACATTATAAGGTCAGTTGCATGTGGTGGGAAAGCTCTACAGGTGTGAGAAGGCATGAATCTGGCACTCAAATGCCATGGCTCACTTCTGGCCATCGGATATGGGTGCTAACTTGGACCAGCTGCTGGGCTGGCCCTGGGACTGTGGCAGTAAAGAGAACTAACCATGTCCCTGTCCTTGTGGAGAGTCTAGTCTAATCAAATATACACTTGAATACAGACTTCTTTTAAAAAAATTATTTCTCTAAATTCTAAGTACACCATGTTCAGCTATTAAATTAAATCCAGCACACATGGGATTGTGGAGTAAGGCATTGCTTCAGCTACTTCTGCATGGCAAAGGATTTTTTTTTTAAAAAAAAACCCATATTTTCCAAAATCGACAGATTGATGACACTACAGAGTGGGTAATGTTTCAACATTCAAACCGAATGACAAAGGGCTTGGTTTATTTCATCCTTACACAGCTAGTAACCACCCTTCAAAACAAAACCAAATAAACACAATTTCACGTGAAATTCTCCTGCCTTCCAAAATAATTTTATGTTTACTTTATTACCTAGCACATAGAAAGCGCACAATAAATGTTTGTTGAATGAATAAATCACAGAAGAGTTGTTACTATGAAAATGCTTTTGTCGATTTTAGGTATGTTCTTTAATTCCCTTCCTTTCCTCTCTTAAAGAAAAAATTATGCATATTTTCAAGGATTCTGACTTTCATTTCCCTGTCTGATCTTGTGCTGGTTGCTAGTTACTTAGGTATCGTTTTCCTCCTCTGTAAAATAAAATCTGTGTCTTGGTTATTGTGAGGCTTAAATGAGGTAACAGATAGAGAGTGACTGGCATCACACCCTGCAGATAATGTTGGGTTTTTTGTTTCCTTTTTCCTTTTTTAACCTTTCCACTCCATCCTCCTCCAACCCCCAAATAAAGTGTCAAAGACAAACCAAATTACCAGCCTGATTAAAAAGTCAGGAAATTTCAAATGTAGCCTGGGCTTGCCAACATCTAGCGATCAACCTTTGAAAAGTTTTATTTACTATTTTGGGGCCTAAGGTTTTCTCTTTTATAGAATGAGTGAGTTTCACTAGCTCATCTTTAAGGAACTGCTCAGTTCCGATTTTCCATGAGCTCAGAAACATGCCTTACTAAGGAATTGGATATTGCTAACACACTAATGCCATCTACGATCAGAAAGAAAATGGACTCTGAGTCCCTTCATAGAGATGGATTCTAAATTACAAACCAAAGTAAAACTTGCCTTTTAAAAGAATTTGTGTCAATCTAATACCTGGGTCAACAATTGGTGACCCTATTATTAAGCAACAGAAGGCCCCTCTTTTCCCCCTCTCCACACATTCCCCCCATCCTCCCACATCCCACACATCTAACCTCCTGCACACCAGCAGGGTTTCCCATTCACAGCTCTGCAATCATGTACTTAGAAATCTAGGTATTTTAAGCAATACCACAATTACAAATGGATCATTTGAAATGAGTTAGACAATTGACACAATATTATGTCAAACCTAACATTTGCTTGATTTTTTTGGTCTTTCATACCCTGAAATATATCCAAGTCGACCAAACAAAGACCTACCAAGGTTATACACACACACACACACACACACACACACACACACACACACACACACGCAAATCTCGCTGCATTTTCATAAATATTCAGTGTATGACTGCCACCTAGTGGTGCAATGTATCCTCGCAGGACCAAATCTCCAAACAGCTAAATGAACACGGACACTTAAACAAACAATGAAACATTGTTCCTCTGCTGCTCACCAGTCATTTCAGGGAAATTTAAGAGCATATCCATCTCCTCAGCTATCTATTTTGCCCATACAAATAGCTGAAGGGTCTGCTGCAGATGGAGTCAATGCCACATTATTTAATCCTACAACTAAACGCAACAAAGGCGCATTATTACTCTATTAATTTTAATATTCATTAGCAATTAAAAAGGATTTCCCCAATAGTCTGTTCTTACCTTCCGGTTTCATTTGGTCTAATCTTGATTTTTAGTTATGCATGAAGAAGCATCTACAAGTGACAGCCTTACAAAAAGTGCACATTACATGAAAATCTGACTTTAATTAAAACCAGTTACTAAATCCCAGCAATTCCCAGCTGTCTCTTCTATCTTATCCTTAGAGAATTATAGATCACATTAATTGGTATTCTGTCACGTAAAGAGACACCAGCAATGATTAATTGCATCCTTGGTGCTTTTGATTTACATCTTCTTTACTAGAGGGATTCAAATCACATCTCATTACCTTCCAGCAGGTACCCCTTTTGATAACCCTTATGAAATCTCCTACCTTCCTGAACTTCTCCATTTGCTTGTAGAGGTCTGGATCAAGCTCCTGGGACACGTCCTTCATCCATAATAACGCCCCTCTGTATTCAGTCCGGCACTGCTCCATGCGGTTCACAGTCAGCCAAGTGTCCGAGATGGCCCGATGCCGAAAAGTCTCCACTTCTTGGTGAAAGCGACACAAAGGATTTCGCAAGGCCAACCTAGACAAGAGGGTAAAGCCACAATAGTGAAACTAAGAGGGCCAGCAATTTGAATCCTTGATAGCTTACCAGTCTTAACCTCATGAGCCTAGAATAGTGCCTGAAACATAGCCGAGGCTGCAGAAATACTTGCTGAACTATAACTGAAAAGTATGTGAACGGATGAGTCAACCAGAGATGATTATCCATGTGCTGATCCCTTAGATTACTGTTACTTAACTATCACTGGGGAGTCTCTCCATCAGTATTGTTGGGGGTGGCCTCATGCCTGGGCAGAGTACTTCTTTAAAGCTGGAACCAATCTTGTGTTAACGGAGGAAGGTCAAGGCATGACTATTTCCCATTTCTTGGCCACTCCCTGCCCTCTGCCTCCCTGAAGCCTGGCTCTTTGGGAAGGCATGGATGTGTGCAGGATGAGGTCTCCCTGTCTAGGCCATTCTGGATTACTCTCCAAAGGCCAGGGCATCTGCTGCTTGCTTCAATAGTCACAGAGAATGAAGTACGAACAGAAGCATCTTTAAATGGTCTAGGAAGTGGGAGAAGTACATTTACTGAGGGTCTACTGTATTAGGCACTTTCAGATAGGTTATGTGATTTGATTCTTATTTAAAAAAAAAACAAAAAACTTAAGGATACTACACCAGAAATGAATGTATATTATACAACGAAGTGGGTATAAAATAATTATAATACTCGTCATAACATACCATTATTTATTCAGCAAAAATTGTTTGATGCATATCAAACTTTGGATGAAATATTTATTTGGGAGGGGAAGGAGGATAGTGCTTCTTTCATCTTCCTCTCCCAAATGAGTAATGTCAGATGAATTATACTCTTAAAATACAGTCGTCTCCATGAAGCTGTGGGGCATAGGTTCAAAAAATAAAAGATTAGTATTTACATCTCAACTTAAGTGCAAACTTGTTAAGGTGAAGGGGAAAATGGTGTCAGTGAGCTGAAGTCAGCTCTTGGCAGTTCCATCAATGTCTGAAGACATATGCAGAGCACTTTAAGATTATAGATGGGGCAATAAACTGTTTAAAAGAAAAAAAATTCCTTTTACTCTTTTCTCTGGTTTTCCTCTTATCTGTAAAGCATCATTGTTAAATATTCAGCACTTCTCTAAAAATAGCTTGCTCACATCATCCTACCTAGATGTTGCAGGCTGTTTTCAAAAACGTATTGTTGTGCCATAAAGTAAGCTTGTGTTTTATCACCATTGGATTAAATTTAATACTCACTTTTCATCAAACTGAATGGGCTGTTGTAGCAATGACTACCAAAGAAGTCAGTAAAACAAATGCTGGTATGAAGGTTTATAAAATTGGAGACTTCTATTTAAAGAAAGAGTCCTCAGCTGTTCCTCTAAGAATCCTGTTCATTTCTGGTCTCCTTTATCTCTTCCTTTAGAGTTTGCCAATTTTCCTAAACTGGCTGAAACAGAGTCTTGTGAATAAAATATTCTTGATTTCTTTGACTGTTATAAAGTTAGAAACCTTTGAAGATATAATGACATGATGATAGGCGTTCAGATCTTGAAGAAAAGAAAGAGGCATATAAAGTCACCTCATTTTTTTCTGTAACTTGTTTCATATAAAATCAGAAAGGTGAAAACCCATTCACTTGTGGTATAAGGGACTGAGTCTAGACCAAGAAAAAATCCAATAACTGGAAACATCAAACTTCAGTGAAAGACTGGCCCACGTTTCCATTCACTAAAATCTACCCAATGGGAATAATTAATAAAGCACCTAAAGGTCTAATCCAAAGACGTTTTATTCTTTAGTAGGAAAAGGTAGAAGTGGACACTAGTGGACAGAGGGCTTGGGTTAAACGTATCATGGCATGCCCAGATAATGGAATTATATGCTATGGACGTTTTTAAAAAGGTATATATGGACATAAAGAAAGTTAGGATTATTTGAACAAAAAATCAATTTGCTAAATAATCAGTATGCAATACTATTCAAAAATTGTATGGTATGCTGCTGTTTATATTAAAAATATATTCTGGCAAATCCCAAATTATGTCCATTCGAGGTTTGAGAATTCAACTTTATGGGAGTTTTATGTAATCTTCCTACTTTCCTCATGTGCAGAGAAGTAGTTTGGATTTCATGTGCCTCGTGAGCAGTTGAGTACCATGGAATCAGAGTCATCTTGCAGGAGGCCAGCTTCGAAATTGCAAGCTGTCCAAGCTACATTAATTTATGGATACAGGGCAGTTTGCTGGTTTACAGTATCATTTAAATTGTTTTGGTTGATTTCTTTTACTGTTTTTGTCTGTATCCAAAGGTTAGACTATATAAACTTAAGGTACCATATGTTTTGTGAGATAACTTTGTACAAAACTATGAAAGTGTATAACTGGATAGCAACATTATAAAATAATTATATGATCAGTAACAGTAACTCTTGTGGTGATTGTGTCCAAGGATTTGGCTTGTTTCCCATAAATGGATGGTAATCTTGGCATGAAGGTATGTATAAGAAGTTTTCCCACTGAAATTAGTGATAATTATATGTATAATTTAAGAAATATATAATGCTTATATATTTATAAATAAATATATAAGAATTTATGAAAGATTTTTCAAGAATCAATGATCCTTGTAAGACTGGGGCAAGCGTATATGCATTGAAAGTATCAAGGGGTTAAAAGCAAGTCAATCTCTATTAGCAAAATTTGGGTTGTTTTTAATTTTCTCCTTTTGGTTTGTTCCTGTTTTAAAATTTTTCTAGAATGAGTATGTATTATTTTTGCAAGGAAAACAGTTATAAATAAGATTAAAAGGTGCAATCAAAGATTATAAACCAACACTTCTCTTGGAAAACTGGGGTAGAGAACTATTGGAAATTGTTGCATTCAACTATGAAAGTTGGGGTCCAAATGTCATTAGAGTGAACCAGAATGCTCAGGAGGGGGAACCACTGAAAAATGCACACGTTTGGTTCTCTTTCTTTCCACCCCACCTTTCTTGGATCTTCATAGGAACACATGTATAACAGGTGGTGGCCTGCTTTTGGCCCACTGGGAGAGAAAGCAGTGAGGAAAAATTAACAGCAGAAGAAAATGTTGGACAGTTTGGGTGAGTGAAATTTTTGTGGCCCGAATATTTTTGGAGACTACCTACAAGCCTTATTTAGGTATAAAGTCTGCCTAATATTAGTGACTGACATTTTGGGGGGCTTGTTAGTTACTGGGGAAGGAGGAGGAGAGAAGGAATGTCACCTTCTCAGATACAAAGTGTGACTCTATGCAGTGGCTCCTGTTTATTCTACATGGACCTTGAACGTAAGTTATGGTAGTGTTAAAAAAGAAATCACTGATCTATTACAATTTTCTCTGCACCAGAGCTTCTCAAACTTGAATGTGCATGGAAAACAGCTGGGGACCCATTAAAATGCAGATTTGGATTCAGTAATTCTGGGGTGGGGCCTGGATTCTGCATTGCTAACAAACTCTCAGGTGAGGCTTTTGATGCTGCTGATCTAGGGTCTGAGCAGAACCGTGGAGGGCATCTTGAACAGCACCCCTCTCAAGTTAACTGCCCCCAGAGGGCACTCGGGGAACCCTTCTGCCTGGTCTCATTAAGCTCTTGCTTTAGTCAGCTGCTGGAAGGGGACTGGATGGATTGCTATGAGGAACACTGAAGGTCAAATATAAGCCTAGGATAGCACTCATGGTGACTGGTGTATAACTATAGACCAGAAGAAATACGAAAACATGTTTTAAAAGTTAATAGGCTAGGGGGAAGCAGCCGCAAGGCACAGGGATATTAGCTCGGTGCTTTGTGACAGCCTGGAGGGGTGGGATAGGGAGAGTGGGAGGGAGGGAGACGCAAGAGGGAAGACATATGGGAACATATGTATATGTATAACTGATTCACTTTGTTATAAAGCAGAAACTAACACACCATTGTAAAGCAATCATACCCCAATAAAGATGTTTAAAAAAAAAAAAAGTTAATAGGGAAGGAAAAAGATTATACATGTTATCCGAATCAGAGTTAAGTACGAACAGACTAACAACTGTGAACAGAGGAGCTCCTCAATCGCAGGCAAGAGCCTTCTAAAGCCCAGTAGGAGGTTCCCTTCATGAATGAGTGGGTCCCAGGTTCTCAGGAGACCTCCCCCAACAACACAGCCCCAGTGAAGGCCACACACCTTTGCTGGGAAGAAAAGCAGAGGGCCTTTCCTGTCGCTTGCATCATTTTTCCTGCTCTGGTTTTATCCTGGAAGCCTTGGGATCGGAGAAATTTTCCCAGTTCGTTTTCTTCTTGAGACAAGACTGATGGAGAAAAGACCAAAAGGAGCCATGAACAATGAACATTTTTATTACAGAGAGGAGAGAGACAAATCACAAGGTCCCCTCTCTTCTAGAGGCAAAAACGAGACGAAATTAAATCCAAGTGGAAGGCTACAAGGTAAGCCTCCACCGCATTTAACTTTCATGCTGTTCTTCCATTTACGAAACAAGAGATCAAATTCACTTGAGTGCATCTGTCAGTACGTTTCGTGCTCTGTAATCAGAACCAGAAAATGACCTCTTTACTGAAAAGCGAGCTGATAATGTGCTGCTTCGAGCTGAAATAGAAGAGTTGGGTCTGTCAAGTATGACTGTGGGAATCTTTTGTGGCTGCCTATAATGTAGGGCCAGTTTCCCCCTATTATTCCCTCTTCCTGACTTTTTGATCCCTGCTTTCTGAGTTACATTCCACTTGATTGTAAAGCAATTCAAATACCTTATCCATGGCATAGGTCTTGGCTGAAGCAGGGGGTGGAGGTTGAGGGTATGTAGGTAATCAAGTTGGTGACTTGGTGGATTTTTAAAATGCAGAGCTGGAACCCAATGTGAATTGCTAATACCTGATCTTGACCTTACTCTTTGTTCTTATTTTATAAAATTGAGGTATAACTGACATACAACATTGCATTAGTTTCAGGCGTACAACATAATGATTCAATATTTGCATATATTTGGCCTTATTTTTTAAAGACAACCTCAGAGGGTGCTATTGGTGAGAAAGTGACTGGTACAAGCTCTCTACAGACTGATTTGGCAGTAAATATTAAAAAGTCAGAATTGTACACATCTTTTGACGTTGTACTTCTGTTAGGAGTAAACTACGTCCTGAGGAAGTAGTAAAATGGGCACAAAGATGTATATACAGATATAATCATAGCCTAGTTATTTATAGTAGCAAAACATTCTCTTTCCCTACCTTGGGGACTGATTTGATCAATGCAGTGCATCCACACAATGGATGCGTGGGCTGCTAGGCAGCTACTGGTCCGAATACACGTTCACCAACAGCTGAGCCACAGGCAAGCAGTGACACGGAGCTTCCCAGAATGGTTTTTCTCTGAACACAGACTTTGCTAGGGACACACTTTGAACACTGCTCTTATTTCACATTTCTGTACTGACGCATTTACCAATCATTTGTCTCTAAAAATGCTTTCTAAATGCTACCAGGATTCTTGTCTGCTTTCATAAACAATCCAGACTTCTTTCAGAATGCATCCCATTCCTGACACTATCCCCCCAACAACAGCTGTAAAACGTTAGTCAGGAACCAAGAATCCAAAAGTGAAGGTTAAAGCTCCGACTGCTTCCTTATTAATTTGTGACTAGCTTACACTCAACATTCCACGGAGAAGAGGCTTTAGAATCCATTCTTCCTGATGGTCAGTGACTACCCTCCTTCCTATTCTGTTTCTCAAAATCAAGTTCATTGGTTAAAGCCTAGCTCAAAAGCTACTTCCTATGTGAAGCAGGTGATCCCTCTTTCTCTGTGACAGCAGCGCCCTCTCGGCACCTGGTAATGGGGTGTCCGTGGGTGGGCAACGTGTCTATCTTTCCCGTGAGAACCTAAGCTTTCTCAGGACAGGGACCTCATCCAAACTATGGATTCCCAAGGCTGAGCACAGAGTCTTATTCAGGGCACTAATTAAATGCTTGTGAAATTGAACTAACTATAACTTTTGCCTTGTTATCGCTGTATACTTCACTCTAAATATTTATCTGGTATTTATGTCCTGGTTCTAGGTAATTTTTTAAAATTCCTATAATTATATGAAGCTTTGTTGTTTTTTAATACCTTCCATTCTTCCTCCTCTCCACTTACTAATATGCGACTCAACTGCACAATAAGGAAAAATTTCACACTTTTGTTTATAACAGTATGAGGCTACTGTCACCTTTTTTACCTTGAAACCTCAAGTCACATACAAATGAACACATGAACTTAAGGCTAGGAAGAAACCAATTCATGGTACTTGAATGACTACAAGGGTGGTGAAATGTACTCTTTCCTAAATAAACCTAAGTAGATTGAAGCACTTGAGAATCCATTTTTGGTTATTTTACACACTTGAGGATTAAACTTGGACTGGAAAGACAGGCTTCATTTTAAGAGCTGGAATCTGGTAATGGGCAGTGCTGCTCAGAGGGAGGTGGAAAAAGTTTGAGTGGCATCAGGCTACAGGTTGGATGACTTAGTGATGACCATGTCATCTTCCAAGAAGGGATGTTCATTCCTTAATTTTAATTTTAAAATTCAATTACTGAAATAAATTTATAGAAGTTTAAAATTCAGGTGCAATACAGGTATCAGATAACTCAAATGTTTCTACTTATAAGGTTTCACTCAACTGGGACTTAATTCAGAGACAAATAAAAATCTTTTCATGTTTAACTCCTAATTAGATTTTCAGATGTGCCCTGATAAGGGAACCAAAGAACTGCAAAACCAATTAGCTTGGCAGCATTAATTCACTTAGCACAAATTTATGGATGATCTCATATGTACTAGGCACTGTTCTTGTCACTGGGAATAAAGAGATGGACAAGACACATGAGGATGCTGCTCTGATGCAGTTTATGTTCAAGCGGCAGCAGACAGAAAATAAAAAATACAAAACTCAAAACAAAATCAAAACACAAGAAGAAAAATACCAGATTGGGGGCGGGAGGGTGGCGAGTAAGAGAGAGTGATTGGTAGCTGCTTTGGGCTGGGTGGTCAGGGAAGGCATCTCTGAGCAGATGACCATTAAGCTGAGCTCTGAAGGATACGGGGCCACTAGAGACAATGAGGGCAGGGACATCCCAGATGGAGGAAACAGTGAGTGCAAAAGGCCTCAGGTCACATCGTGGGTAAGAGCAAAAGTGGCTGGAGAGGTGAACTGGGTCAGATTGTGTAGGAATTTGTAAGCCATGGAGTAGAAGTATACACCTTACTTTAAGTACTTATTGGAGGCTTTTCAGCAGAGAAGCAATGTGATCCAATGTACATTTTTATTTATTTATTTTTAAAAATAAATTTATTTTATTTATTTAGTTTTGGCTGCTTTGGGTCTTCCTTGCTGTGCGTGGGCTTTCTCTAGTTGCGGTGAGCGGGGGCTACTCTTCATTGTGGTGACTTCTCTTGCTGCAGAGCATGGGCTCTAGAGCACAGGCTCAGTAGTTGTGGCACACGGGCTTAGCTGCTCCGCGACATGTGGGATCTTCCTGGACCAGGGCTCGAACCCACGTCCCCTGCATTGGCAGGCGGATTCTTAACCACTGTGCCACCAAGGAAGCCCCAATGTACATTTTTAAAAAACTTTATTTTGAAATAATTTTAGGCTGATAGAAAAAATTGTAAATAGGATACAGAGTTCCTGTGTACCCTTCTTCCCCTAATGTTACATAACAATGGTAGAATGATCAAAATTAGGAAAATAACATTGGTACAATACCACTACCTAAACACAATCTTATTGAATTTTCCTAGTTTTCCCATTAATGTCCTTTTTCTTTTCCAGGATCCCACATTGAGTTGTCAAGCCTCTTTAGTCTCCTTCAACCTGTGACAGTTCCTCAGGTTTTTTTGTCTTTTATGACCTTGCCGCCCTTTAAGAGTACTGCTCAGGAATTTTGTGGACTGTCCCTCAACCTGGCTTTGCCTACTTTCTCATGATTAGACTGGGGTTACAGACTTGGGGGAAGGAAACCGCAGAGGTGGAGTGCCCTTCTTGGTGTTTCATATCAGGGCTACCAGAGATCAACACACATTATTACTGACGGTGTTAACCTCCATCATTTGGTTCATGTCATGTCTACTGGATTTCCCCACTGTAAAATTATGGTTTTTTCCTTTTGTAATTATTAAAAATTTGGGGGGTAAATACAGAAGACTATGTAAAGGTCCAGTTTCTCCTCAAACTTTCACTCACTAATTAAAACATCTTTCAGTGAATCTTGCCTGCCAGAGTTCTTACTGTGGTATTTACCTAATGGTGATTCTGTGGTTCCTTCATTCTTTCTAGATTTATTAATTGCAATTATTTTATAAGCAAGAACTGTCTCTTCTCCCCCATTTGTTTTTTTTTGTTTTCTTAGAAATAATAGCAGCATTTAATAATGTGAATGGATATAAGCTTAACACAAAAGTCAGATATATTTTTATTCTCCAGGAGCAAAAATATAGAAAACATAATTAAAGAGGGGATTCCACTTAGAACTGTATCAAAGAAATATTACGTGCATAAGAATAAATCCAAAAAATGATACCCAATACCTGTAAAGGAAAAATTCTAAAACTCTGTGAAGCAGTATTCAAGAGTACCCAACTAAAAAGATATAAACTATGTTTCTGGATAGGAAGACTTAATATCATGAAAATGTCAGTTTGTTTTTTTGTTTATTTCCATACACACTTAATGGACATTTATCTTACTTCATGGGCTCTAACCTAATACAATCAGTTATTTACTTTGTTGCTCAAATTGTCCCAGCTTTGACCGCTGGGAGCTCTGGGAGATTGCTGACTGCGCTCTGACCGCAGTGCAGATGATGGGCTGGAGAAGGAAAAAGTGGAGGCAGGGAGATCAGTTAGGAAGCTGATGCAGCAAACCAAGTAAGAGTGCTGATGGTGGCCTGAACTAAGGCGGTGGCTGTGAAGAGGTACAGCAGGGAGAATCTGAAAGCAAAGTAGGTGACAAAATGGACCAGCATTTGTGGCTGACTGGATATGGGACAGAGGAATGTTGGGGGCAGTGTGTCATGTGTCTGGATTCCTCATACCCAAGACTATGGAGTTCTAGCCCTGGAGAAGTCTTAGCTCCAACACTTAGTAAATAGTAACACAGGTAATTTACAAAATTCTGCCTCTAAGTCCTAGGATTTTGTACTTCCGAAAAACAGTCTTCATAAAAGATTACTAATGAAGGAAAATGCCCAACTGTTAATTTGTGATTACTGGAAAGGGGTTTGGCAGTAGTCAGAAACAGACAAACTTCTCATAGTCTCAGAAATACAGAAATTATACTCTTAAATGACCTACAAATGGAAATTTAAAAACATACTAACATACAACTTGATATTTAGTATTTCAGAGACAACTTTGTTGGTAATGATTTTAAGATGGGATGACGATAGGAAAATCTTGTTCCCTAAAAAATCCAATATCTGACATAGAAAATGTTCAGGAAGAAGCGCTGTCAACAAAATATAGTCAATGAATTAACTGTTGCCTTCTCTCTCCATGTGGTCATTTTAAAAGGAACAAAATTGGACATAAGAGAGCCTGGGCAATCAAATAAAAACAACGCCAAATCCCAAGATATAAAACTGAAAAAACTTTTTTATAATTAGGAAAATAAATGGTACGTACTTATCCATGGTAGACTCAATGGTACTTGCATTGAAAAACAGCCTATGTAAAGAATTTCTGATAAAATGATTAAAGACCCCACCCCACCAATTAAGGAGCAAAGACAGACACTCCTAAACAGTGGTTTCCTTGTCTTGCTTCCTAAACATATAAAATTATATATTAAGGCAAAATATCCAATTTCTTACTGTCTATTTGGTCAATATTCACACTTATGGCATACTTACAACAGATTCTCTTTTGATAGAGTACAATTGCTTTAGACAAGTCCAGACAGGTTCTCTGAATCGAGTGAAACAGCTATAATAAAAATACAAACAAAATGCTAAACAGACAGCAGTGAAATAAAAAACAAATTATATTGAATATAACCATAGCATTTGATTTGCCCACTAAAAACAAGATCGTATGCCTAAATGAGCTTGGTGTTACGTGGTGTACTGAACAGAAAATGTGACCAAAGCTTTTAAATATGCTCCTATTTTTCTATATTTATTAGAATTCATCAGTTCTGCGATCTACATTGAGATCTGCAGAAGGATGATTTCCTCCAGACATTGAAATAATAGCTGAAAACCAGAAATCCTAAGTGAGGGGCCCAATTAGAGGACTTGGTAAACCAGAGACCCAATATTCCTTCATAATCGAATTTATTTCTTTTACCACTTACTGTCTTTTTTTTCAGATGGAAGATCTGTCAATTAAGCATCTTATTTAAAACACAACATTAGCTTACTTTGTGATCCTAATGCATTTTACGGCAGGCTTAAACAACTCTATAAAAACAAACAAATATCAATCAGCTGAATGTTCTGTCTGCTTTGAAGAGATCTGGTAAAGCAGAGTTTAGCTAGCAGCTCCTATCACTCATTATTTTCCCAATTATTTCATAAAATATACAGAGAAGAAACCTAATCTCATGCTATGGCCATAACAGAGAAAATTAAGGGAAAAGCAGGTGGACTGCATGGAGAAGAATCTCACTAGATTTTAACTTATGGTGGTTCTGGTCTTTGCTTCAGAAATGGAGACAGTTCAAGAGAAGACAGAACAATTGTAAACCAACTACACTCCTTTAAAAAGAAAAACAGAAGACAGAGCAGAGACTTCACACTTTCTCCATCCTCTGTCCACCGACTCAGAGACCAGGGCTGCTATCAATTAGAAAACCTGGCAGACAAACATTATGCCTCTGAGGAGCCATCCAGGGAAGCAGGGCAAGGCATTCTTCTCTCTCCCCTGGCTTACTGGCCATGGTGATGTAGCAATTATGCCCTAGTATTACAAAGCACTTCACAGTTGGGTCAAAACAGAAGATCGGCTTCATGATATAAATGATCAAATGTTCTAATAAAAATGAATGCATGCATATATACTTAGAGGATTAAAAACCATTCCTATGAATGCTTAATATGATAAATCTTGGTCATGTAGAATATGTTTTACTAAATCTCATTTCATTACACTTCATTCTCTACCTATTTAGGGAAAAAACAAAAACCCTTTACCATAAAACAAAACAGAAAATCAGCAGTCTGAGTATGTTCCTTAACAAATGCTTGATAACAGTATTCTGGGTCACAAACTATCAACACATAGTCATTCCTGAACATAGGAGCAAGGACGTTAAAAAAAGTATGTTCAAGAGCTATTCTGCTGTTGAATGACTTTTTTAAAACTGAAGTATAAATTAAATGCAATAAAATGCACACCTCTGGAGAGTTCAGTTCTGTGAGTTTGACAATTGTATACACTCTTGTAATCATACCCAAAGTAAGATAAGAAACATTTCCACTATCTAGTCAGTCTACTCTGCTGTGGCAACCACTAAAAGACTTCTGTCACCACAGGTTAGTTTTGTCGGTTCTTGTACTTAAGAACTGTTTTTCAGAAAATGATTTCATTAACAAGCAATTCTGACAAATATTTAAACTTAGTGAACATTTCTACATGAGCTTCCCAACAGACTGTAATAGAATCTGACCATCATTACAGCTTGGCATACAAGCTTTCTTTGCCAGCAGAATACAAGTTCTTGTTTCATCAGCTAGTCTTCTATGGATAACTTAGTTGAAAAGCACATCAAAATGGTCTGCACATCGTTTTCATATGCTTTATTGGTGGAATCCATTCTCTTTCTCTATAAACATCAACATCAGTATTAAAACATTCCTGCAACAGAAATCTTTATCATGTGTAAAATTATTAGTCACAGTTAAGTACTTTGGATGCTATGTGCCTAGGACAGCAGGTATTTTGACTAAAGTACAGTTGGTTCAGTGAAAATGCTGCTGCAAGAACCTAAATATAAACATTAAATTACTGTATTGTGTTTCACGTGCTAGAAAATAACATATTCAATTACTTTCTGAGTAATGCTTGTATTTACTAGGTTGTTAAGAGGAAAAAAGATAAATCTATAAGATGTGAAAAGCATATGCAACTTACAATCATTTCAATTCTATTTAGAATACTAAAATCAGAATAGAGGCTTCCTGGCTCTACTTTTCTCCGTTGAAGCAATCTCTGCTAGAACATCTCTGTCAAACCCAGCTTCTGTTAGAACAATTCCACTGACAGGAGAAAGGGTTGGGAACTCATCTTAACTGCATTAACACGTACACTTATACAGTTAACACTTACTGAATGTGTACTGAGTGTCATGGAATCTGACCCCCTGGTGGAGGGAAGGCAGGCAAACAAACAGACACTTGAGATAATTCCATGAGAGATGAGTACTATGAATAGTGGCCCTGGGTCTGGTTCTACTGTCAGATGCACAGAATGAATCTTATCCCTCTTCCACATGACAGGCCTTCCCAGAGAACTGACAATTAACATATTTCCCCTCAACCTCTCTGTTCCAGAATAACCATGGCTTGCACCACCCTGGTCACCCTTCTCAGAAAGCTTTATGAAATCTCGAGCTTTTGATTTTTGTCTCATTAAGTGTTCAGCTCAGTAACTTTAGCTTATGTATTAAATTTAGATATCATTCTGAATTCTTATCAGACCACGTGACATGTTATCTCTCTCTGTGCCCTGTCATTCACAGAAGTGTTAAGTATGCTTTTTAAATTTTGGGTTTTTTAAAATTAATTTTTCTTGGAGTATAGTTGATTTACAATGTTGTGTTAGTTTCTGCTGTACAGCAAATGCTTTTTAAATTCTGATCTAAAGTACTGGCAGAATGTCCAGCAATCAGGGAATTAGTGGGCCTTTAACCAGTTGTACTAGTATTCAAGGATCATTCAGATATGAATTCAGCTTACTGTATTATTAACTAGTCTAACTAAATATTGGTTAATTCAATTCTAGAATTTTCCAGGATTCAATACAAGCTTATTAGACTCACTTTCCAGGATCTTTTGCCGTCATCCTGTTTTCTTTTTTTTTCTAAATGTAAACATTTGCCTGACCCTAGTGTTGCTATCACTGGCAATGGCTCTTTGAGTGCATTAATGTTTTTCAACAAACATTTATTGAGAATTTACCACATTCCATGCATTCCAACGAAGTGCTTGAAAAACAAATTAACTGAGGCATACTGGGGGTTACAGGAGAATTTGTGGGTTTTTAAAAAATATGCTGGGATTGAGTTAATCTGATCCTAGATTTTCCTTATGAACTAGCTGTTTGCAGTATGTTTTCAAATACAAAGCACACCTATGCTTGCCCCCGTGAATACATTCTCAGACCCTGAGCCTAGCAAGGTGGCTGTGCTGGGGCTGAGGGCAATGAAGCGCTCACCTCCAGCTTGGCATCCAGGTCTGCGTCGGAGGCAACGACGTGTTCGTCTTCCTTCTTCCCTGTGGCTTTAATAAAGGCCTGCTTCGTTTCCCAATACTTCTGCTGCATCTTATTTACAACTGATTTATCTTGAGCATATCGATCGTGTAAGTCCCAGGGATAACTGCTAAAAGGCATTCGAAGAGCCATTTTACTCATGACTTTTAAAAAAGTTAAGATATTATAGTGTGAACAAATGTATTCAAACATTTACAACATTAATAAACATATAAGTACTTTCTTACATGGTTATTACACCAAAAGGTTAATCAAGTCTAACTTATACCAAAACCTTAAAAGTTAGTGAGGAAATTAAGAAACTTTTGCAGGAAATTGAGAAATTAAACCTTGAGGAGTTTAGATATCCAAAGACTGGACACACTCCTTTCAGAAGTAGACAAAGTGAGGCCAAGTCAGGCAAGGTGACTGCCTCAAGCACCCCAGTGAGTCAGAGATAAAGCCGAACACCAATGTTCTCTCCAGCCCAGCATTACGGCCAACAATGAAGTGATGGCAGAAAAGTAGAGATAAGGGGCTGAAAAACAGCATACATCAAATCTGTCACAGAGGTACCTAACACAGTCAAACTCATAGAATCAGAGAATAGAATGGTGGTTTCCAGAGGTTGAGGAGGAAATGGGAAATTACTAATCGACGGGCATACAGTTTCCACGGTGCAAGGTGAGTAAGTTCTAGAGATCTGCTGTACAACACTGTGCCTAGAGGTCACAGCACTGCATTCTACACTTAAAAGTTTGTTAAAAGGGTAGATCTCATGTTTAGTATTCTTACTACAGTCAAATAAAATTTTGAAAAATAAAAAAGTATTAAAAAATTGATTATGGGTTTCTCATACTAAAACTTTAAATTCTTAAACATAAATGCTTAAAATACCAATAGGAAGCCATTCTTCAGGAACAGCACAGTGAAGATCATATCAAAAAGTATGTAAGGAAGAAATTGGAAAAAAATTCAATTCAGAATGAAATGGACTTCTGTAAAAGTGACCAGAGTCTCCAAATATTGACAGAAAGTTTGCCACTGGTGTTCCAGCCCTCCTTGCTTTGTCTACACCTCCCTCCTGTCTAAGGTTCCTGTCCAAAAGCTCACACAGGACCCCCAGGCATCTCCCTCTGCAGACATGTAACTTCTTCCACCCCATCCCATTAGCACTCAAAATGTGCCAGACTTGTGTGTCCTAAAACAGAAATTGCTTTATACTACTATACCAAAATATGTATCTCAAAACTCGATGATTTACACTCTCCTGCCAGATAACATTTACAAGTTTCAATTCACACATTTGTTCTTAAAAAATCAGAGTTTCAGATGACTTCCTTAGCAATGGTTATCTTTGGAAAGAGGAGAAGGAGTATGGTTTACTTTATGTCTTTCTGCATCATTTCAAAGTTTGGAATAAGTCCAGATATTTCATGTACAGGCATGATGACTGCACTTAATAATATTGTATTCAACACTGGAAATAGGCTAGGAGAGGAGCATTACTCTTCATGTGCACTCATCACACACAAAAAGTGGTAACTATAAAAGGAGATGATATGTTGGGACTTCCCTGGTGGGGAAGTGGTTAAGACTCTGTGCTCCCAATGCAGGGGGCCCAGGTTCGATCCCTGGTCAGGGAACTAGATCCCACATGCATGCCACAACTAAGAGTTTGCATGCCACAACTAAGGAGCCCGTGTGCTACCCACCTGCTGCAACTAAAGACCCAGAGCAACCAAATAAATTAATTAAATAAATTTAAAAAGATGGTACGTTAACTAGCTTGACTGTAGTAATCATTTCACTATGCATATCAAATTATATTGCACACCTTAAATATATATAATTTTTATTTAAAACATATAAATAAAAACCATTTTATTATGAGCTTAAATCAGAGAAAATAAGATGAAAATATGTATAACTTTTATGTAAAAGATAATCCCTCTACACAGTATGTGCATTAAAAGATGGTAAGAATATACTCCCCCAAACTGTGGCTATTTCAGGGGAAAGGAATTTTAAGAGGGGGGACTAGGATGGATTTCTTTCTATTGTGGTTTTTGTTTTTGTTTCTGTTTTTTTTGCAGTATGTGGGCCTCTCACTGTTGTGGCCTCTCCCGTTGCGGAGCACAGGCTCCGGACGCGCAGGCTCAGCGGCCATGGCTCACGGGCCCAGCCGCTCCGCGGCATGTGGGATCTTCCCGCACCGGGGCACGAACCCGTGTCCCCTGCATTGGCAGGCGGACTCTCAACCACTGCGCCACCAGGGAAGCCCAGTTTTTTTTGTTTTTTTGGTCAAAGGTCATGGATTAACAACAAAAAAATTCTATTCCGAGGGGGAAAAAAAGGACTTTAGAGGTCATTTAGTGAACATGCCTCACCCGTTATTTAACAAATGAGGAATCTTAGGTTTCAAAACGTTAAGAATCTTGCCCCAAATCACACAGGATTAAAATCCAAGGCTCTAAATCCCAGCGTAGTGAGCATTTCAATGTTCTCTGCAGCCCTTGTATTTCAGCAGCAAGCAATGAAGTGGCACCGTAATGGGAGAAGGACTATGGGGAAGGGCTCATCTCCTGGGACTCTCCAATCTCTCCTAGGTGGATGACAACTACCTACTTCCCTGAGCCTGCTGCCAGGGTATGACAGCCATTACGAGGGTCACAGGATGAAGCCATCCTTTTGTCTTAATGAGGCAAGCTGGAACAATTAAAAAACTAGTCTGACAACTCTTACAGAGCTGTCAAATGGGGATACTCAGGGAAACTAAATCCCTTAGCTATTTATTAATTACCTTTTAAAGCTCATTACATTTTAAGACATGCAAAGTACTTTTAAAGTTTGACATTTGATATTACAGAGGACTTGGACCTGATTGCTTCTCTACTGAGAGAGGAGGGATTAAGAAGTATATTCCTTGGGGCGCTAACCGTAGCGCAGCGGTTAAGAATCCGCCTGCCAATGCAGGGGACACAGGTTCGAGCCCCGGTCCAGGAAGATCCCACACGTCGCGGAGCAACTAAGCCCGTGCGCCACAACTACTGAGCCTGCGCTCTAGAGCCCATGAGCCGCAACTACTGAAGCCCGCGCACCTAGAGTCCGTGCTCCGCAACAAGAGAAGCCACCGCAATGAGAAGCCCACGCACCGCAACGAAGAGTAGCCCCCGCTCGCCACAACTAGAGAAAGCCTGCACGCAGCAACAAAGACCCAACTCAGCCAAAAATAAATAAGTAAATAAATAAATTTATTTTAAAAAGTATATTCCTTATTATAATCAATTGTACCTTTGAAAAATGAAAATATGCAATGCACTTTTTCATGATACAAATTAAAGAAGGTAAAAAACGACAAAGATCTGCTTGCCCAGTGGATCAAGGTTTCAGAAGGGTTCAGAAACACTGCTTGTTAACAGAACTGGAATTTATAAGTGGTTTAACATGCTGTTAGATGCTTTATAGGCATGTAAAAGGCAGTGATAACACTGTCATGTAATTACCACATCTATTTTATTCAGCATCATCTACTTCCAACCATGACTGACTCCTGAATGTTCATGAAGGTTGAAGTCATGACTATATATTAATGAGTCTGAGTTATTTTTATTGTCATTAGTTATATTGTTATTTTATAGCTGCCCTATATAAAATTCCCTTATAACCCTAATATTTGAAGTTGTAAATAAGACAGATTAAAAAATGTATCAACTCATTACACTGAAAAAAATGGTGGTAAGAAAAGCCATTGTTAGATTCCCAGGAGAAAGTTACACATAAATGAATTTCTTAGAGAATATTTTTGGTTATTGGTTTTCATATTACATTTAGTAGGGATACTGAAAACTTGACTATACTCAACATTGGGTATAGGCTAACAGGTTATTTACTGCTATTGTGACTCTTGGTTTTTCCATTCAGTAGACATTTATTGAGCATATACTACGTGCTTTCCTCTTTCATTAGCCTCTCCCAGTTCAGAAGAGACAACAAATTACTTACCATTTGTGTCCTGACATGTTTCCTTCTTCTTCCTTTTCTACTGTTGATGATTTGGGGAGAAGGGACAGGGAAAAAGCATGAGAGGATAAGTTATATTATAACCTGAAATAAAACAAATATGTTTAACAGTTACACACTATATTATAATTATACATTAATTTGACACATATAAAGTTTTTCAATCTAAGCCATTTCTAGTTGTATCTTGGGGACCAAACATTATTACACAGTATCACTGTACCCCAATGTCTAGAGTAGTTAAGTAACACTGGAAGAAATATCCTCAATGAAGTTTAAGAAGTGAACAGGCAAGTTGAATGAAAAAAGCAGGTTGCAAAAGACTACATAAAATATGAGACCGTAACATTCCAAACAATACTCTATATTGTTGAAATATACAAAGATTATAGAGTGAAGGTATAGAGAATTGCATATGAAGGACGAACACTAAATTCCAAACAGCAGTTACCACTGCAGTGGGGATGGGGAATATTATTTGAGAGGAGTATACAGGGACTTTGTACCCATAATATTTTCTTTGATAAGCTAGGTGGTGAGTATACTGCATCTGTCTGTCTCTTTACAGATTTAAAATCTTTCATAATCAGTATTTCTAGAAGGTAAACCAACACATTGCAAAAACAAAAACAAACAAAAAGAATTGATAACCCAGAACAAGATACCAAGAAGGGTACAAAGGAGGAAAATGAGATTATTTCAGTTTTGACCAACCAAGTACTGTATTTTCATCTCATTAGTAAATATGGGAGTCACTTGATGCCTTTGCCCCTCACTCCACTTGCCCCCCTCGTGGGAGCTGGCCAACCCCAGGGAGGGGCAGAGACAGCCAGCCCAGCCACACTTGCCTACCAGTTACTGGAAAGAACGGAGAGCTCGCTACCTAAAGGAATGGCCTCTGACCAGACACAGACTGCTGGCCACTGGAGTGAATGCTCAGAGTGTGAATGCTCTGGCTACTTCAACAACATAAACCCAATCGTTCTCCCTCTGCCTCAGAAAGGGTCCTAACAACCAGGACCCCTAAAATGATCAGAGTTTCCAAGGCTTTTTTTTTTTTTTAATTTATTTATTTGGGTGCACCGGGTCTTAGTTGCAGCACATGGGATCTTTGCTGCTGCATGCAGGATCTTCATTTGCGTCATGCAGGTTCTTTAGTTGCAGCATGTGGGATCTAGATCGTTCCCTGACCAGGGATTGAACCTGGGCCCCCTGCATTGGGAGCGTGCAGTCTTAGCCACTGGACCACCAGGGAAGTCTCTCCAAGGCTTTTAAAAAATGTTTTGAGGGAACGCAATTGAGGTGTTGATATTCCAGGCTTCAGGTACAGGGACAGGAAAGAGGAAGGACATTTTCTTAGAGTGTCCGGATGCCTCTGAAATGACAGCATCCCGTAACCAGCATCTCTCTTCTTCCTGGAGAGCATCCATGTGCTTTTTGGCCATTTGCATATCTTCTTTGGAGAAATATCTATTCAAGTCCTTTGCCTATTTTTTTAATTGGGTAATTTTTTTGTTATTACATTATAGGAGTTCTTTATATATTCTGGATATTAACCCCTTCTTTGATATATGGTTTGCAAATATTTTCTCCCATTTGGTAGGTTGCCTTTTCACTGTTGATTGTTCTGTTTGCTGCAATTTTTTGATTATTTTTTGATTATTAATATATTTAACAATGAGTTCTTTATAGTATAATAGATAATAAAAATCACTAAACAAACTGCCCTTTTCCTGAAGTTTCAGGCTATTCCCAGATTATGGTGCCATACAGCAGTGTTCCTCACGGTATTGCTTACAAGTCAGTTACGCAGGAATCTTCTGGGGTGTTAACATGCAGATTCCTGGGCCCCATCCCTTACCTACTGAACTAGAATTTCTGGAAATGGGTTTGGGAATCTGCATTTGTAACAGGTTTTGCAAGTGATTCTTAAGCACATTAAAGTCTGAGAACCACAGCTAAATGGCACAAAGGAAAAATCCTCTCTAGAAATAGATCATTCTTGAACAAACTTCTGGATTATATATGGCACTTGAACAAAGGAATCACGGGTGGCAAAATCAGGTCAGCCTACAGGGGATATCTGAATGTCTCATGAGATGGCAGCTGCAGCCAGCACTTGCATCTCTTTTAATGTATGTTTCAGTCCCATACACCAGGGACAATCAATAAACATTTTAAGATTTACTGACAAAATCCATCTCATCTGGCCTATCACCTTCTAAATCCACAGTGTCAAAAGAACTACTTTAAAAAATTGTTATAATTCTCATCTGTTCATTCATTTCATTTCCACAGTTTGATTTATCAAACATGCATCGAGCATTTAATTAACATGTGGCAGGCACTGTCCCTGGCCTCAAGGAACCTATAGTCTAGATCAGCTCTGTCCAATAGAAATATACTATGAGCTACATAAGTAATTTTAAATGATCTAATAACCATATTAAAAAAGTAAAAAAGAATAAACCCACACATATATGGTCAATTAACTCACGACAAAGGAGCCAGGAATATACAATGGGGAAAGGACAGTCTCTTCAATAAATAATGTTGGAAAAACTGGACAGCTACATGTAAAAGAACAAAACTAGACTAGTGTCTCACACCATGCACAAAAATAAATTCAAAATGGATTAAAGAATTAAATGTAAGACCTGAAACCATAAAACTCCTAGAAGAAAACATAGCCAGTAATCTCCTTGACATAGGTCTTGGCAATAACTTTTTGAATCTGACAACAAAAGCAAAAATAAGTAAGTGGGACATCATACTAAAAGGCTTCTACTTTCTGCCTAGCAAAGGAAACCATCAACAAAATGTAAGGCAACCTACTGAATGGGAGAAGATATTTGCAAATCATATATCTGATATGGGGTTAATATCCAAAATATATAAAGAACTCATACAACTCAATTAGCAAAAGCAATCTGATTAAAAGATGGGCAGAAGATCAGAATAGACATTCTTCTCAAGAAGATGGACAGATGGACAACAGGTACATGAAAATATGCTTAGCATTACTAATCATCAGGGAAATGCAAATCAAAACCACAATGAGATATCACCTCAATCCTTTTAGAACGGCTATCATCAAAGGCAAGAAATAACAAGCACTGGCGAGGATGTGGAGAAAAGAGAACCCTTGTGCACTGTTGGTGGGAATGTAAATTGGCATAGCAACTATGGAAAACAGTATGGACGTTCCTCAAAAGATTAAAAATAGAACTACCATGTGATCTAGCAGTTCTACTTCTGGTTATTTACCTAAAGAAAATGAAAACACTAACTCAAAAAGATATTCACACCCCCATGTTCACTGAAGTCTTACTTACAATAGCTAACACATGGAAACAACTTAAGTGTCCACTGATGGATGAATGGATAAAGAAATTGTTGCCTCTGTGTGTGTGTGTGTGTGTGTGTATACACACACATACACACGTACTTATAATGGAATATTATTCAGCCATAAAAAAGAAGGAAACCTTGCCATTCACAACAACATAAATGTACTTTGAGGGCATTATGCTAAGTGAAATAAGTCAGGTAGAGAAAGACAAATATCTTCTGATCTCTCTTATATGTGGAATCAAAAACAAAGAAACAAAACAAAAAAACAAGCTCATAGATACAGAGAACATATTGGTGGTCACCAGAGGTGGGTGGTGAGTGGCTGGAGAAATGGGTGAAAGGAGTCAAAAGGTTAAAAAAACACGGGCAAGTATACAAATAGACACCTTACCATACAAGATATACAAATGGGAAAAAAATCATATACAAAGACCCTGATAATAAGGGGATTATAAGAAAATAACAGATATGAGATATCCTACACATTGATTAGAATGGTTACATTCCAAACAAACAAACAAAGCTGAAAATACCAATCCTAGCAGGAATGTAGAATAACAGGAAAACTCATTCATTTTTTTAAAAAAAGTAAAAAGAAAGAGTAAAAAAATTTAAGTAATATATTTTATTTAACCCAATATATCTAAAATATTTCAACAGGCAATCAATTAAAAAATTACTAACTATACTTTGCATTCATGATTTTGTATCAAGTCTGAAAACTGGTATGTATTTTACACTTATAGTACATCTCAATTGAGACCAGCCACATTAAATGCTCAAAGGCTAGATGTGGTTACTGGCTATAATATCGGGCAGTGCAGGCTGAGCAGGAAAGACAGACGTATATAAACATAATTTCTAGATCCAAGACTCTTGACATTTGCAAGAGACATATAAAAAGATCTTCATGTATCCCCAAATTTGTAAACTCTGCTGTAAAAATATCATTTTCCCTTTAAAATACAATAAAGTCTATGTTTAGCTAATACTTCAATTCACGATTCTGCAGAGGAAGCTCTTTCTCCACTTCTGCCACAAAGCACTTATGAAAGAAGCCCAAAATGAATGGTATCAGGTCTCAAGGTTGTTAATAGCACAGAGAAGACTTCCTAAAGTTCTACTTGTGGTCACCTTACCTTAGGAGACAGGCAAGGAAGAGCAAGTATCAAGTTGCTCACGGACTGTGAGTCCCATGATAAGAAAAAGAAAAGCACCAATATTGTTAAGTTCAGCATGACTTGACCACATGAATGCTTGTGTTTCACTAAATTCTGTCTCCCCGGGGACAAAGCAGATGAGCCAATAATATTTAAGACCTACTCAAAGAAGTAC